CTGGTTAAGCTCCCTGAGTCCATTCAGAAACTTAAATATTTGAACAACTATCTTAACGAAGGGCAAGGGGCAACACCCTTCTGTTTTTCAGGAAAGAAAATGTTTTCAGGCTGCAGTGTTTTTCTAAACCCTGTTAACCATACTTCCTAGTGAAGTTAAGATAGCCTGCAGACTAAAGTTCAAGAAAGGGTATTTGCTGAACCGATGAATATATGAACATACCCTAAGGTATTGATTTGCTGTCATCAGCTACTGAAAACCAGAAAAGCATTTTACTTTAAAAAAACAGGGGTCTAATAACTTGCTATGTCTTTAGACCTCCTCCCTGAGTTAAACATTAACCACTGTAGTTAACAAATATTTATCAGCTAGCAGCAAGTTCACTTTGCTGATTCTCCAAATATTCAAATAGAACTGACAGCAATTTCAGCTCACGTGATTACTGACACCTACCAGATCAGATAGGTTCAACTTTCACTGTTCACTGCCACTACTCTAAGATTTACCCTTGACCCACATTTTTCAGCGGCTCAAATAGAAAAGAAATGGGATAGAGTATAGCAGAAATTCAAAACAGCGCTATGCACCTATAGTATAACGCATACATAATAAGACTTTGCAGCAGAAAAAAAAGGTGGAAAATCTATATATCAGGTCCAGCATACGAAGAGTTTAAAGCAAAGCTGTAAATATTTTACATATATATATAGATGCCATGGTAAATATACTCCAAAGAGTACTAAGGTAACCAGTTAATGAAATGTTCAATAGGAACATCTTGTACATTTTCCTGGAAGAACACTACATTGTCTGGAAGAACAATTTGAAGGAATGATTAATGCTATCACTGTCTTCTGTGAAGAACAATTGCAGGAGTCTAATTTATTCACCTGCAACTATACACAGCTGCGCAGATATTGCACGTGTCTTTCTGGATGACAAGATAGTAGCTGATGACAGAAAGCATCTCTGCAACCTTCTTTATTAATTATGGGTTTATGTAATTAAGGTAAATGATGTTAATTTTATAGATCATGTAATTACAGTACATTGTTAATCATACCATCTGGAGATCTATTGAATATGAAAAACATATGGTGACTTTGTTTTCCTGATCAACCAAATAATTTTAAACAATAGATAATGTTTATTCAACCTGTGATTTAGGGAGGGTGGGAATGTTGTTGGGGTCATTGAAGTTCCTGTTTTGCTGTGAAAATGAAACCGACTAGCTTTTCTATCATTATGTTAGTAAAGGAATCAATCCTGCAATAGATTGTAAAGCCCATCAACAGCTACTAGAGCTCAGTTGTACTGGGAATGGTACAAAAAAGTGAAAAAAGGAAAGACTTTTTCCTTGAAAACCTAAATGAATTTTCTGATACGCAACACAGCTAAGCAGAGCAGTTGCTATTTTCAGCAGCTCTTCATCCCTCTAGTATATAACATTAATTAATATTTATTTTAAAAGTAGTAATTTTATTTGGCAAGTCACAATGGCCTTTCCAATATTCCTTTAGCAAGAATAATTTCCAAGTTCAGATAATATCTGCTTCCCTACTGTTTGTGCTAATGGAGAATGCTCCTTCTGTCGTTTTGAGCTATGAAATTTAATTGCCCAGAGTGGCTGATACTTATTTTCAACAGCTGCTGAACAAACTCTTTAAAATGCTATAATTGCATATACAAGAATCCTTAATTTAATGTACGCCCTGTGGCATTAGAAATGTAAGTGTATGTGAGGGAGGTAAAAAGCTCACAGGCCTTCTGAAGCATGTTCATTTGTGGAGGGGCATCTTGTGCTTTATTCTTCTCTCACGTTATAGACAGAAGTCTCCATTTACTCAGACTTCTCCTCCTCTGCTTAGGTAGCAGTGAAAGGTGGTTCAAACTCCTGTCATGGACTGCTTTTTCAACGAACTTGTACACATAAATGCCACACCTCATCTTCAGTAGTCACTGTGTGGTGCTTGTTTGTGTGACAAAAACAATATACTTTCTCTCTGGAAATATTTTCATCTCATTATTTTTAGTTTAATATACAAACGAGCTTTTTCCTCTGAAAGTAAATGTGTGAGGGGTAAATAAATATAGACTTAGGTAAATATAGAATTAGAAAGATAGTCTTTATTACATACTGCTCCAGATAAAGAATTTTTGCTAAGCCAGAAACCAGACACTTCAATTCCTAGATCTTCCATTGCCACCTGCAAATGTATTTGTGTCTTTCACAACTGCTTCTGCTTAATCGAGAACTCTTATCCTACATGAAGGAAAAGATTGTTATATACCTGTGTCATAATTAAGAGAACTGAGAATTTGCAAAAGGCATCCTGTCAAAACTGGGAAGAGATCCATCAGCGCTGGTTTGCTTTGCAGTGGACTGAGGAGCGTGCACACATTCAGCTGGCTCAACTCCACGTGAAGATGGGGAAGGTATCTCCTCAAATAACAGTAACTGGGTTGCTTGCTGTCATGTAAGCATTCCTTCACAGAGGTCCTGGACTTTAATAAATTCATTAGCTTTGAGTGTTGCTAAATTATCTGAAGAAACACAGGAAGCATTTGTGCCAGCATCTGATATGTCAGCTCCTCTAAGCAACTATGATCTCAAGTGCTTCTACTCATACTGGGAACAAACACATTTCCACTATAATTTGGCATCTTCTCAGAGCGTCTTGTATTAATCTGCAGACATCCCTAGAAAGCTCTTTTCCTTAATTAGAAAAGGAAACAGCATTTCAGTGCCACTGAACATGCTTAGCTTATACTGACTTGTGGTAGAGAAGGTATTAGAAAGTGCTTTTTATCGTTTAAAACTGGACCAATTTTCATGCAATTCTTTCAGATTTTGGATGGGTTTCTAAGACTTTTGTTTTTTTTTTTCTTTAATTTTCCCTGCCTTCATTAACTGCTGCTTAAACATGATTATCCTTACCTCAAACTTGAAAGGTCAAGGTACATTTCAGGTGGATGTTACAGAATAAGGGTGGATGAGAACTGCAATATAGTTGAACCAAAATGCTATATATGATATAAAACTTCAAAGACTTTGTCAACTTGAAATTCAGGTATTGTTCCAGATCATATTTAGTAAACCACCTCTAGCAACAGAAGGGGCCAAGACAACCTCCACTTTAGCAGGAAATCTTCCAGGGAAAAGGGAATCTCCTTTCTTCTGTTGTGGAACCAGTAGCTCCATCTGTCTGCACTGACATAGGCAAATCTCTCTGAAAGTACAAATATATTGCTAATTCCTACAGTGTTACAAAAGCCAAACCCCTTGGCATTATTCATTGCCTGCATGATAGCTGAGGGAGTGAACAGGGGCAGAGGGAAGATGCAGCACAAGGTGCGCGTGAGTATCAGCAGTGCCCTAGCTGCGAGGGCAGCTCAGGTGCCATGGCCAGTAAATTGCTGCTGTCTTTAGCTCCAAGGAGACCAGATTTGTGCGGTGGCAGTAGCTGTCTTGTAGGATTTCCGCCTGCTCGCAGGCAGCTTGCTTTGAGCGGGTTCCCCTGCAGCCATCAGATGGCAGCAGCTTTCAGTTGTCACTCTGGCCTAGTTTGTATTCCAAACACTGGGCAAAAAGAGAGGTTAAAGACGGCGCAGCCTTTCAGATCCTAGCATAAATCCGGTTTTGCAATAAAACTAAGACCGTCGCATAAAAGATAAGTTGGAGTTATTCAAGTTGTATGGAGTGAGGCCGAGGTCTCCTCCAGGGGCTCATTCCAGGCTCTGAGTGCTGGGCAGCAGGTTTTGTTGTGTAACTGTGTCATCATCAGCTGAGTTTTGGTATTTTGTTTTCCAGAACTACTAGTGCAATAATAATGAGCCCAGTAGTAATCTTTGCAAAATCCCTTCTCATTGCGTACTATATTGAAGTAGAATGAAAACAAATTGGCAGCAGGCATCTCGAAAATTAGATATTAACTTTCAAAAGTGCATGATAGTTTGCCCTGTAATAGCTGGGAAGCAAGAACATTATGTTTCAGCACTGAACCTTTCTGTGGAATCAAAATATTCTCTCACTGTAGCCTGGTTCACATCTGCTGTGGGCCTTAATGTTGATAGCAATACTTGTGATTGCAGTAATAGAAATGTAGTCAGGGAAAAGAAAGGGGGAAAACCTCTTATTTGTATTCAGAACTCTAACTCTAACAATGCAGTTAATCCTGCTGCAATTACTGGGGATAAAAAGAAAGGAACAAATCTAAGAAAAGAAAATTAATGTGAAAAAAAAAACACACTCCTCTGCATTTAATTAATGTTAAAGATGTGAAATAAACCCACATAATCAAAGCAGTGAGCAACCGTGACAGAAAATTTGGATCAAAATTTGGATCTTGATAAAGACTAATTACAGGAATAACGTAGTTGACCACAGAGACAGCCAAAGGAAAAATATACTCCCTTTCACTACAAGGACGTTTAGAGCAAACCAGATTGCTAAGGCTGTTATTAAAGTGACCATGGGATACAGGTTAGAGGTAGCAGCGTTACTGGAAGGGAAGTTGCTTAATATCAGAGTTGCTGCTCTGCCCTGTGCCTGTGAGTTCACATATTTCACCAGGCAGTGCTGACAGGGCAGAGGTGCTCCGGCCTCTTTGCTTTCTCCTTCCCAATAGACCTGACAGAGGAGCATAAATCATTTCCCTGCAAGTGGAGAAGGTATGCCCACTCTCCCTGGTTTCAGCAAAGGGACACCTGTCCATTTTATCCCATACTTGCCATTTCCCCTTTTCCTTTGAGCATTTTGATAGGCTCTTCATTTCCTCTCTTTCACTGTTGCCTGATGTGAAACTTTATTGGCCATTTTCTGCTTGTGGCATTTGTGGCTTGAGCTCCTGTCTGTCAGCTTCTTAGGAACTTCAACATGAACTTTCTTTCCTGGATTTGCTCCTTCCTGTAACTTGCTGTCACATGAAGATCTGCCCATGCTACTTTCTGTAGTCTCTTATTACTCATTATATCCGCTTTTTTTTACTTTCATCTACTAGTGCCACCAGCCTTCCGGAATGGATTTCATTTCCCTTCAGTTACTTACACGTTGGATGTTGGAACCCGAAATTCTCACCCAGGCTCCCTTTGGCAGCTATTCACAGTAACAGACACTCACACTGTGACTCATGCAACTCATTTTAGATCTTTTCATCAGGATGAAATGCATTCTGGAAATGCCCATATATCTTACTGAAAATAATAGGGAGTTACACAAATAGGTCAGGTGAAGTTGTTGACACTGTAGCTGTGTAAAATGAGGTTAGATGAAAACCTGTGGTATGTTTCTTTGAAAGGCAGGATAGAAAAAAACTATAGCAAAAATTTATTACAGACTTCTTATAAGTAAATATTAAGTCAATTTCTTAGAATTATTAGAGAACCCAAATAAATTTTAGATAGTACCTGATTTTTATTACAAACATGCATGTATTGTTATTAGAATGTTAAATAAAGTTAAGAATGGTTCAGAAGCATCTGTTTTCCTTATGCATTGGTTTGTTTCATGCTGCCCATAAAATACATACTTCTAATCTTATGACTGATGAAAGTTGTGGTTTAGCAGCATCATCATGATATATTGTTGAAAGAAGACAAAAGAATTTGTGGATGTAGGAACTAAATCCATATATATTATGAAACTATCTCCAGTCCTGTGCTGTAGGATACTGAAATAAAGAGCTATCTAGAAACTACCTTAGGGTGTTCTTTTTTATATATATGAGTATTTTACAACACGTCTTTTTTGATTGTTGAATTACATTCTTTTATAATAAAACAGTTTTGGTTTTTAAGTTAGTCTCCTTGATCAGATATGTCATACCATTGGGTTATGTCATTGCCCCCTACAAGTCAGAGCATACAAAAATGCATTTTACATAACTTAATGATGTTTTACAGTTTCTAAAATTGCCTGGACTACAACACCATTTATTTAGTTACGTTGGTCATCTGAGTATTGGCTGGTTCTGTAAACACTAAGCTGCACAGTTAATATATTATAAATGTATCTTCCTGCCTTTCATAATGAACCACCACACTGTCACTGTGGGCTCTTCAGCCCTGCTCACTAGTGAGGCCAGTGCTGAGATCTTTCTACTTTACCCCAGTTCACTTGACTGAAAAGTTCATTGTGATCTCTCTGGCTCATCCCTTTGACTCAACTCCCTTTTATTTCTCTCACTGGCTTATGCTTCACTGGTGCATCTAATCAGTGCCTTGCCTTGAGGTCTCTGCAGAGTTCATCCCTTTCCTATATGACCATTCTTTTCTTCTGCTATTTTATCCCTGTTGCTGCACCAGTGATTCCATATCCAGTTTTCTCTTCATTAATTTTTCTGTCCTCCTTTTGCACTGTCTCCTAAGCAAATCACTTCACCTGGGATTCCTCTCCTAATGTGTCTTGCAGCTCCCTTCTCCTGCAAAATTGGTTCTCAATTCAAACTTACCAATATGGCTACAAAAGTAAAACAATTAAAAATTGCTTTCTAGAAGTGCAGGTTAGGGCATATCGTAAATTCACAATGTGGAACAAAATAAAATGAACAAAATATGAAATATGTCATGCATAATTTTGCCTTTGTTCCCATTCTATGTTTATTTTTCTGTAGCAATAAATATTCACATAACGTATTTTTAAAGCCTAACACAACTTATGTGTTACTAAAATATTGAAGATTAGCAGAGTTGTAGAGCTACAGTTTAGAAGCATTAATGCTGAGTATGGTACAGCATTTGGTACAGCACCATATGCACAAACCAGATGCTTTTGAAAGGTTTTATCTTTTTATCTTGAGTGCTCCTATGAACTCTGTTATTGTTGCATCCCCCAATTATATCTCATAATTTATAGTATGTTCATCTTCCTAATACCAATATGTGTTATTGGTCTTATTTAACAGATGGAGAACTAAAGAACAGGGAAACCAAGATCCAATAAACACTGACATCCAAGCAGAGCGCAGTTGAGATCTCTAGATTATTAAAAACAAACTCAAAGCCACATGCGATAGACTTTACTCATTATGAACCACGTTGCAAGTGACTGCACATTGCAATTCTCGGTCAGAAAAACTCAAAATAAGGATTACTTCTAGATTTACATCTCAGGATTTAATGCAGAGTATCTGAATAAAGGTAACAGAAACCCAAGAGCCACAATGCAACAATGGACACAGAATACTAAAATTTCACATTCTTGGAAGTGTGAAAAAACTCACAATACATTGCTCACAGTAATGAACAAACATACCTGTAAAAGGACAATGCTCTACAATTTTTTCTTCCTTAAACTAGGGATTGAGCAACAGAGGACAGGGGAAGTTAAAAAAAAAACAAACACAACAACAAAACGATACTTTGTAAAAATGGAATAAAGCTTTTCCCAAAAAGAAAAAAAAGTGGGGGGTGGTATTTCAAACATTTTGTCACTAAAGTCACTAAAGGCAGGGTTTATTGGTGATTAGAACTGTGGCAAATAAAGATGTTATTAAAAGTATCACAGGCCTATAGATGGTGTTTTTATTAAGCCTATAGATTTTGGTTTTTTTTTTCATTGTTAATCATCATAGGAAAGATTAAGGAGCTGCCTATATTGCAGATTTTCTTTATAGACAATAAACTCTAGGAGCATGTCAGTGTGAGCTGGTAAAAGAAGGGACTAATACCTAGCAATTTGATACCAAATTGATGGAAAGTGGCAAATGGTCAATCGGGTGTTAAAAAGGGCTCTTCCTTGTTCATGCAGATCAGTAAGTCTGACATGTTTATCAATCAGGAAGATTGCTAGAAATTATAACAAGAAATAATTAGTAGGCAGAAGGGTAAAGATGACTGGACAAGAATCAGAGCAGCTTCTGTAGAAGAAAACAAAACTATGGGAGTTCTCTGAAGGAACCAAGGTTTATTTAGATAATGTTGATTCAAAGTTATTAACTTGAATTTTCAAAAACAGATGAACAATTCAGTAATGAAACTGAATTGTCACAGAGTAGAAGGGTAAACCCTCTTCCAGATTGCTTGGTGAAAGATAGGAAATGAAGAGTAGGGTGAATTATAATTTTTCACAGCAAGGAATCATGAGGACTCCAGGGATATGGGTTCATAAATGCTGTGAAAAGGTGGTGAGCTGAGGGGTGATATTTTCTGTAGTGATAAAGAATTAATCAGGATAGTAAAAGCGTAAGCTGGATGAGAGGAGTGACAGAATAGTCTCATGGTATTGAGCAATGAAATAACAGATGAAATCAATGTCAATAAATGGAAAGTCATGCACTGAGGAAAAAATAACCTTCACTGTTCATATACAATAATGGACTCTAAATTAGCTGTTACCACTCCTGAAAGCAACCTTAAAGTGCCTGAAAACATCAGTACAATGTTTGGTTGTTGTGTCTTCTGCAACTAAAAAGTGACAATTAAAGTAGGAATTATTAAGGAAAGAATAAGGAATTAAAAAAATCAGATGGATGTGCAAATCCATTGTACGCCCTTATCTGAAGAAGTAATGTGGTTCTAGATAATACATTTCTAAAAGGCTGCAATGGAACTAGAGAGCACAGAGAAGGGGAACAATGATAAACTGTGCTATGGAACAACTTTTATACAAGCAGAGAGTAAATAGGCAAGACTGAAAAAGATGATTGAGGGAAAATCATAGAATAGTTAGGGTTGGAAAGGACCTTAAAATCATCCAGTTCCAGATGAAGCCTGTAAAAATAAAAAATAAAAAAAAAATGTTTGGAAAAAAAGAGCAAAAAAGCAATTATTCACTGTTTCTTACAGCATAAGAATTAAGAAGGCAACCAATGCATTTATTAGGTACCAGACTTGAAACAAACAAAAATAATCACATTGGAGAAGAGTTCATCTTCATTTATTAAATTGTGCCTACATCTCCTGGCTCAGGAAGTGCCAAGGGTTCTGGACTGCAGAAGCTAGGATGCTATATCATAAAAAAGGATTGTTTGACTTCGTCTATTTCCTATACTCTTCCCTTAACAATCTATTAGACTACATAGAATCATAGAATCGTTAGGATTGGAAAGGACCTTAAGATCATCTAGTTCCAACCCCCCTGACGTGGGCAGGGACACCTTACGCTAAATCATATCACCCAAGGCCTCGTCCAACCAAAACAGAGACTCAAGTCCAGGGAACTTAGCTGTTCTCAGAAGCTGCAGTGTGCCAATTGTCCACAGGGCTAAAAAAACATGCCCTGTCTTTTTTTATTCACTGTTAGAGGCATAGCCTTTGGCCCCAGTAGGGCATTTATTGACTTCTAACATTGACCTCCTTTTCTTTGCCTTACAAAGTTCCTTTAAACATCCTGGGGCTAGTTAGATCCCTTATATCTCTTAAATCCATTGACTATTCAACCGCATCATGCATAAGTGCTTTGTTCAAAGTGCGAGATTATTTTCCCTTCTGCAGACATATGTATTTTTAAATAAAGATTAGTTATATCTCTAACTGGAATCAGGTGATTTCACACATTCTTAATAGTTCTGAAAAAACAGGACAAGACATAAAGATTTCACATTTAACTATGTGCTTATTTGAAGTGCATTTATTTTCTGAAAAGATTGTGAAGATGCTGTTGATGCAAATTATTTTGTCAATACCTGTTCATATGCTTTCAGAGAGCAATGAGGAAGATATAGAGCAATGATAAATGAAACAATTATCAAAAGTGAGACTATCATTGTGAATATTTAGATGATTGTGTAGCAATATATGACTGAATTAATTCTGAGAGCGGTCATCTAAGTGCGTGTTGAACTGAGCAAGAACATTCCCTTTAAAAAATTGTTAAAAGGCTTTAACTGTAACATAAATAACAATGTGGTATAAAGTGTTTGGATATGCTTTTAATAGGAGATAAGAAAGGAATTGGAAGAATTTTGTTTAAGGACAAGAAGTATTATTCTCAGACCCTAATGTTATATATACATGTGATTAGAGCTGCATTGTTAAAATAACATGAAGAGTTTTGGTAAGTCTACATTGTGCTATTGCTGTTACAAAAATTGTAGCCATTGCACCAGGTAAATCTAGGAATTTGACCTTGACACATAAAACAATTCTGATCCATTAATCTGATTAATACTAGTGACTAGTCTCCAGCTATGTACCTTGTGGCAGCTGTCACTCCCTGCGTAGGTCATTTCAATTGCTTTGGTTGACAAAACCACAGACACCTCAGCGACAGTGCATCATTACTGTTATAAACTCCAGTTGGAAACTGCATAGACAAGTGCTCACTAGCTCCCCTCCACTTATCTTGAAAACCAGAGAAAATATGTTCATGGCATATTCCCTAAAAGAACCCTTAAAGGCTTGTCTATACCAAGCTCTATCTGAAACCAGAAACAGTGTGAGAACAGTGGGAGAGTTGAGAGGAAAGTGGCAGTGATGACTAGGTTACTGACTAAAATACTTTGTCATAAGAGTTGAAGCACCTGATGATGCTTACTCTGGAAAAATTGTTAGGAAATTGTCATCTTCAAGTATATAAAAAACCTGCTATAGAAAATCAAGGAGTAAACTGGGAAATAAATATTGCCAAGTCTGCCATGTTTATGACAAAAAATAATTGGCTTGAGTTGAAGCAATGTTTTGGATATTAGGAACAGTTAAATGGTGTAGTAGATTTCTCAGGGAAGTTATGGGAAGTCCATCACTGGAGACTTTTAGGAACAGACTAGAAAAATACATGTCTCGAATTATTTGGACAGAGATGATTCTGCCTTTGGGCTCAGAGAGGAGCTGGATGACTTCTTGAGGTCCTTTCTGGGCTTATTTTCCATGATTTTATGACTAGGGCAGTCTGCCCAGACTGATGCATTTGGGTGCAAGATCTTTCTAACATGACTGTTCTGCATTTCAGGGCTGAAATATTCCTTTCACTGAATTAATGAACCCACTTAGTGTTAGCTTAGGGTCCCTCTACCAGACTCCAATGTGGCCTGCAGATCTGCTGTTTTGAATCAAATAGCCACCCTAGGCATTCAAAATATACACTTTGAAAAGCAGTCCAGGCACAGCATCTATTGAGATCACCTTTGTGCTCAGGGGTCAGCTAGGGAGACGGCTCCGTTAACTGCTGTCAAACACCATCTGTGAGGGAGTCACACAAAGTGGCACTTCTCCGTTCCAGGCATCACACATTCTTTCCATGGTCCAGGGCATGTGATTCTTTGGTTTGGTTTTCAAGAGCCAACATTGCAGGGGGTGCAGGCAGCTGCTATAATCTCTCCTCAGACTCTCTTTTTAGCTCCTTCTTTTAGGGCCTGTGTTTTAGGGGTTGTACACCTATGTGTTGAGTGCTGGTGACACATGGTGCTCTGCTTGCAGACCACAATCTGCTGTTCTCTGTTATAGGGGTCAGCTTTCCAACCTCACCAGTTTTCCTGTGATAAGCAGCTAGCATTGCTGTGCTATTTCTGGTATACAGGGGATTCCTAGGGAATACTGCAGATACTGTGGCCATATTGTCTAGTGTCAGCTGAAGTGTGTGAGAGGTTGCCAGGGAAAGAAAATTGGATCATATTAAACCTAGTAGGTATCTCAGCCATTCTTCATTTGGCATAATTGCAGAAAGTGATTGATCTCTGTTAGAGAAAAGACAGCCAAAACACAGGCTACATGTACAGCTAGTTTCAAGCAAAGCCATGGGTGCAGGGGTTGCCTGAGGTTCTCAAACCATAAGGCTGGGGAGTAGAATGGGCTGCAGGGCTCCCTCTTTCTCAAATTCCCACTACAAAAGCATCCTTTGACTTCATAATGCACACCAGCTCTGGATAGCAATAGTCATCTGTGATACGTAGTGGCTGGACTCTAAGTGTCCCTCTGGCTCTCAAACTACATACTTGCGAGCTGCAGTTTCTATGCCCAGGGTAGGTGGAGCAGCCAGCAGGGTGGATGTCCTTGCCCAAGGACAGTTAGACTTTTTAAATCCCCAATGTTAGAAGCCAGTGAAGTCTTGTGCTACAGCAAAGATCACATTTTCTTGAAATCCAGAAGCAGAGCTAGTGCTCTGCAGTACATGGACCTGAACAAGAATTTAGAAGAAATATACTTGATTTGTGTTATTATGATAACTTTTCTAACTTGTCCCAAGAGAAATTGTGGGCAAGAGAGAAATTCAGCATCAGGATTTCAAAGCACTATGTGATGCAGAATCTAGAGGACTATTCCTGTAAGGAGAGGTTGTAAGAGTAATGCTGGTGTTCATCTGATAATACAAGGGATTTTTAATC